TGACCAGATCTGTGGTCCACCTAGTCCAGTGTCCTGTCTCTCACCAGATGCTTCAGAGGTAAGTACAGGAAACCCTGTACCAGGCAAATATGGGATAATCTGCCCAGCAGAGGGAGCATCTCCTCCTAACCCCTCTAAGGGCTTTCTTTCATGACCAGGGTAAGTCGACCTAAGTTACGCTACTCCAGCTACATGAATAATGTAACTGGAGTCGACGTAGCTTAGGTTGACTTATCCTGGTGTCTTCACAGAGCTGCGTCGACAGGAGATGCTCTCTGATCGACTTACCTTAATCTTCTCAGGGAGCTGGAGAGCGCTCTGCCATTGATTTAGCGGGCCTTCACTAGACCCACTAAATCAACCCCTGCTGCATTGATTGCAGCAGTGTCGATCTCCCGGTAGTGAAGACAAGCCCTAATAGTTAGAGACTGGTTTACGCCCCAAAACATGAGGTTTTATATCCTTTCTAGTACTTTTTTTGGTATCTCATAAAATTACTATAGATATTCCTGTTATCCATATATATATATCTCCCTCTTTGAATCTTGCTAAATTCTTGACCTCAACAACATCCTGTGGCAATGACTTCCACAATCTGATTATGCATTGTCTAAAAAGTATTCCCTTTTATCATTTTTAATTTGCTGGCTTTCATTGAATGTCTCCTTATTTTTGTGTTATGGGAGAGGGAGATCAGAAGTTCCTGATCTACATTCCCTACGCCATTGCATAGTAATGTGAACGTTTGCTCCACATATTAGTTGAGGTGAGTCCACACTCTTGACCTACAAATATCTTCAGATCCCACTGGGGCTTGAAGGAAGAGCAGTTTCTGTTAGAGGTTTGATGTGGTTGGAGGCCCTACAGAGATTGTTACTATTTCTTTCCTTAGTTTTTAGTGAATTTAATGCTGGTAAAAGGATTTGAATTGATGGTGCAAGAAATTAAGGAACTGGCATTTATAAAGCAAATACGGAGCTGGGTTTTCCTTATTGCTCAACCAATATGCCTCTTCTCTTATCTATAAGAACCATCTCTAAGGCCTGGTCCATGAGAAGTTTCACCAGTTTCACCAATGCAAATTCCTAATGCACTTGAACCAATTTAGTTCTTGCTAACATACTAAATTAAGCAAAACCAATTTAAATAAGGTTTAAGCCAGTTTTAGCAAGATAGAAACTGGTTTAAGTGCATCTACATTAGGGGTTTGAACCAGCGTGACTAGAGTGATTTTAAATCAATGTAATTACGATGGTGCAACTTTTCTAGCCTAGACCAGACCTCACTGCTGAGGGGCTATGTCAGTGGAGACTCCACCTAACACACCTCAGAAGGTAACAATTTTCATTCACTAACATGATGTGGCTGCTGTCAAGAGAGTGAGCTAAGTGTGGAAGGTGTCATATGCCATTACCAGTCTCCTGGGTCCTGGCAGCTGTTCCATGAGAGATTTGCTTGGCTTGTGAAATCTTTTGGGTTGGGGAAGAAGGGAGGTAATATTTAATTGTTAGCAGTTCTGACATGGATTAGGTTTGACAGCTTGAATTAGGAAGCAGAGTGATAGGATGCAGTAGAAAGATGTTTTTAGCTGGTATCTAGACAAGCCTCTCTGCTGGAATGTGTAGAGAGAGAGCTGGATTGCTGAGGGGGTTAATCCTCTAGGGAAGTTCATTTGTATTGCTAGACACTTTATTCTTTTGTTTTTAGTTGGGTGAGAGGAGCCTTGAGTACTGACTACTTTAGAGCATTATTGGCTCTGCTTCTTTGATGTAACAAAAGAGCCTTTGTTGTCCGTGGTCGTTCCATCTGCTTACACCAGGTTTGGATTTGGCTCATATAAATAAGGAGGGGGGCAATAATCTCTTCCCCTCTCTTCTGCTCAGAATAAAAGTGAATAACATCAACAAAGAGTAGCAGTTTGTCCAACATTATTCAAATCTTGTACAGAGTACAGCTAAGGAGGTAAAATGCTATTTTTCTGAGTCTACCTCAGTGCTGCTCCAAATGAAGCTTACGATTGGGGCTGGAAGCCTGTCCTGTGTGTTAGAAGGAAGCAAGCTCAGGCAGGCAAGATCATGCTTTCACACAAGTCAGAAGAAAATACACTACCAGAGGCCTCTCCACCCATACAATCCTGTTGTGTCTGTGGGGGAGGAGGAGCCCAGCCAATTATAGTGTCCTCCTAGATCCTGCTCTCTCTGGTTAGGAGCAGGGGAGTGAGCCAGTCACAGGCCCTTCAGAGAAATTTGGGGCCTACCCCATCCCATTCCATTTAACCTCCATTCCTCCTCAGTTACAGATGTTCGGGGGGGGATGGGACCCTGAGCTTGGGGCCCTGGTACAATTGTCCCCTCCAGAAAAAACATTAAGAAACCCACGTCTAAAGGCTGTAGGCATATCTGATCTGCATTAAAAACTCTTACCAGCTTGGCCCCTGAACCTACAGTGAGTTCTTTGCTTGAAGATCCCTGCTGACTTCAATAGGGCTCTGAGCAAGAGGGAGGGAATCTGCCTACATAGAGCTCATTGCAGGATCAGGGCCTTAAATAGCAAAACCAAACAGATATTTTTCCTGCTCTTCCCTTGCAGTGTGGTATACAAACAAAATACAATAAAATATAATAAATCCTAAAAATCAAACAGATAAAAGCAATAGAAAAAGATGAAAGGGGCTGGGGGAAGGTAATAAAAATAGGGCAAAATGTTCAAAAGCTTGGACAATTTTGAACATTTTATCCATCACAACTAATAATGATCACAGGGGAAAACCACCTTTGAAATAGAGCCTTGAAATGTCTCTTCAAAATAGGAAGTGGCAGAACAATTTCTACACCCAAGGGCTCACCAAAAGCCAAAACATGGCCACCTGAGATATAACAGAGGGATCCCCTATGGCCCAGTCTAAGCAGGAGATTTATACTTGTGTAATGAAAATGTGTGTCTATGCCTGGAACCTGAATTTATCCTTGCATCCACACTGCAGCAGTATAGTAAAGCAGTGCTTCCCCATAACCTGGGATACCTTCTGCAACTATACCTAGCCCAAAAGATTCTCAGGCTTAAATTTTCAAAAGTAACTAGTGATTTGGGGTGTCTCGAATTTTGGATTCTCAAATTGAGACATGTTAAAGAGGCCTGATTTTTCAGAGGACAAGTGATCAGCCTTCAAGTTGGGCATCCAGAATCACTGGTAATTTAAAAAAAATTGGGTCCCAGTTTTGGTCCTGGTGAATGTGTTGAAATGTGTGTCATCAGAAAACGGCCATTAGGCTTGATTCTGCTTTCACATCAGGCTTACATTGCCGTAACTTAACATTAACTTCAGTGAGTTGCTCCAGATTTACATTACTGTAACTAACTGAGAGCAGAAGAAGCAGAAGTTAACCATATGTTCTTCTTTGTGGGCGTAATGTATTAGGTCTGTTTTGTGTCAGCCATAATGTGCTGCACTGAATATGATTCCTTCTAAAGTATGTTTAATCTGTGCATTTCTTTACATTGGAATAATTTATACAGATAGCAACCCTTTGGGGCCGGGAACTTATCTTCTGATGTATCTGTAAAATGGCTAGTGTATTTTTGTCACTAAATACAATCACAATAATAAAGTGGGTTGCCCCCGACAGTATTTTGGAGATCTTGCCTAGCACCAGAAGGATGGTTGTGTGGCTTAAAAAGACTGGGAGTCAGGAGAAATGCATTCAGTTCCCACCTCTGCCACAGACGTCTTGAGTGAACTTGGGCAGTCATTTATCCTCTGCATCTCAGTTGCCCATTTGTTACATAAAAATCTGGATTCTGTTCCTGATTGCACCACTGACCTGCTGTGTGACTTTTTGGATCAAATCACTTCACCTTTCTGTATCTTTGTTTCTCCTTCTCTCCCCATGACTACACTTAAAAGCTTACAGTGGCACAGCTGTATGACACAGCTGTGCTTCTGTAAGATCGCTTGTGTAGCCGTGTTATGCTAATGGGAGAGAGCTCTCCTGTCGACATAATAAAACCAGCTCAATGAGCAGTGGTAGCTATGTTGGCAGGACAGTGTCTCCCATCAACTTAAGAATGGCCAAACTGGATCAGACCAAAGTCTCCATGTAGCCCAATATCCTGTCTTCCGACAGTGGCCAATGCCAGGTGCTTCAGAAGGAATGAACAAAACAGGTAATCATCAAGTGATCCATCTGCTTTAACCAGAGGTGCTGACTTTTATTTTTCCTGGTGGGTGCTCCACCCCTGCTCCACCCCAAGGCCACGCCCACAATCTGCCCCTTCCCCAGAGGCCCCACCCTCACTCCGCCTCTTCCTGCCCCTGCTGTGCTCCCTCCCTCCAGCCCCTCACCCGCCAATCACTGCTCTCTGCCCTCCCTCTAGCACCTTCCACCAGCCACAAAACAACTGATTGATGGCCCTGCCAAACAACCATGGCTGGTGTGTGTCACCCAGTCCCAGCTTCTGGTAAACACAGGCTAGGGACGCCATCCCATGACACAGCACTGCTTATGCCAACAAAATGTAAAACGAAAAGGAGTACTTGTGGCACCTTAGAGACTAACAAATTTATCTGAGCATAAGCTTTCCTGAGCTACAGCTCACTTCATTGGATACATTCATCAAAATGTATGCCACTGGGGGGGGGGGGGGGTTGTCTCACCCCTGAGCGACAAAAGTTTTGCCGGCATAAGTGCTAATGTAGACATGGCCTAAGACTGTAGCTCTTTGGTGCTGGGACGGTCTCTTTCTACATATTTATACAGTGCCCAACACAGTGGGCTCTGATCTTAGTCGGGGGCCTATGGGCACGGTAAAAAAAAGAATGCTTCCTTGTGTCACAGGGGTGTTGTGAGGCAACCAGTGCATGGATTCCTAGTATGGAAAGTGCTAGAGACGTGTTAAAAAAAAAAAAAAAAAGTCTCGTGAGGAAGACAACTGCCTCTAGGACCTAGGGGAAGCCTGAGGGGGGGTGGTGTGGTCCCCTGCGCAGCTGATGGACAGACAAGCTGAGCTCTGAACCACCGCGTTAATGAGAACCAGGGCGAAGGCGCTGGAAGGGGCTGAAGGGGTTGGGGATGCCTGTGGGGGCCTCGGCACGAAGCTCAGATGAAGCTCTTCAGCCGGGCGCAGCTGAAGGGGGGCCGGGACCCGGACAAAAGGCATCGTGCTGAACGTGAAACCTCTTGAATCCGACCTCTTCGCCGCGCTGTTCCCTGCACGGCAGCGGCTGCCACAGCGCCGGGGGCTAAGCCCGGGCGAAGGACCATCCCCACGAGCATCTTCCCAGCAGGACCCACGCGTGGGAACGTGGAGGGTTCCCGGGACTGCTAGGCGGGGGGCTCCTCCCCCCGGGTTGCCCCCTTGCCCCTCCGCAGGCAGGGACATGGGTCTGTCCGCACGCGAGGCTCGGTGACTTTCCCTGCCCCTCTCCCTTGGGGCGGGGAGAAAGTCCCTTGGTTAAAAGGAGAAAACTCGCTGCTGCGGGAACGTGTCTCTGCCCCCCCCCCCCCCCCCGCGGACGAGCCCCCCGGGGGCGCTTTATTTTCCGCTCTTCTCCAGCAAGTGGGTGCCTCTGCCCCACAGGCTCCGGGACGCGGGATCTTCCTCGCCCGCCCTGGCGGGTTACAATGAGGTCAGAAACCGGGACTGGGGGTGAGCGGGGGCCGGGGGGGGGCACCACAGACACGGCGGGAGGGAGGGTGTCCTGCATGGGGCTGGGGTGGAAGCACAGGCGAGGGGAAGGGCTGGGGTGACAAGGAGACGGTGCAGCTCTGGGGGGGGGGGGGGGTGTTTCCTTCCCTGGGGAGTGTCAAAGGAAACAACATAGATGGGGGGGTCGTATGTGGGGGAGTCGGGCTGCACTATTTGGGGAAGGGTGGGTGCTTGGGGGCATTAGGAGCAAAATAGCCCTGGGGGGAGCAGCTGCTGGGGGTTGGCCAGTGGGGGGGGCACCTCTGTGAGGGGGCGGCAGAGACAAAGGGGGAGAGGAGTGTTAAGGAAGCGGCACAGACGTGGGGGGAGGGGACCGGGGGAAGCAGCACAGACGTGGGGGAGGGGGACGCTGCTGTCCTGGGGGGGGGGTGTGTCTGGCAGGAGAGAAGCGGCGCTGGCATGCGGGGGGGGGGGGGGGGGTCTCAGGACACACAGCCGGAAGGTATCGCTGCGAGGCAGATAGCACAGGTCCGCCATGGGGGAGGGACCCCTGCTCTCTAGGGGGGAACATGGGAGGGGGTCTCCTCTGGGAAAGAAGGAGGCGTGAGGGGAAAAGCAGCACAGGCATGGTGGGGAACAGTTCAGATTGGGGCTCCCCCCTGGGGGTGGGGAAGGGCAGGAGTGGATCAGCACAGCCATGGTGGGGGGTGGCTGGGGGGGGCTCCCCCTGGGGGTGGGGAAGGGTAGGAGTGGATCGGCACAGCCATGGTGGGGTGGCTGGGGGGGCTCCCCCCTGTGGGTGGGGAAGGGCAGGAGGGGATCAGCACAGCCATGGGGGGGCTGGCTGGGAGGGGGCTCCCCCTGGGGTTGGGGAAGTGCAGGAGTGGATCAGCACAGCCATGGGCTCCCCCCTGTGGGTAGGGAAGGGCAGGAGGGGATCAGCACAGCCATGGGGGGGGTGGTTGGGAGGGGGCTCCTCCCTGGGGGTGGGGAAGGGCAGGAGTGGATCAGCACTGCCATGGTGGGGTGGCTGGGGGGGGCTCCCCCCTGTGGGTGGGGAAGGGCAGGAGGGGATCAGTACAGCCATGGAGGGGGGTGGCTGGGAGGGGGCTCCTCCCTGGGGGTGGGGAAGGGCAGGAGGGGTTCAGCACAGCCATGGGGGGGGCTGAGAGGGGGCTCCGCCTTGTTGGGGGGAAGGGCAGAAGGAGAGCAGCACAGCCATGGGGTGGGAGGGGATGAGCACAGAGATGGGGGTGGGGATTTTCTCTCTCCTGGGGGCAGGAGGCGGGGGAGGGGCGGGGGCTGAGCACAGCGATGGGCATGGAGAGGGGTTTGCTCTCTGATGGCAGGAACCATTCAGGGTTTATCATCCTGTTTGATTTTACACAGAGGTTGAGATTTTTTTGGGGGTTGGGGAAGGTGAGGATATAATCCAGGGAAAGAGGGGAGAGCCCTTGCCTGGTTTCCATCTCCCCTCGGTGGGAGGTGCAGGCAGAAACCTGTGGGCCTGTACCGCAGAGGAGGGGCACTGAATAGCAATACTAGGAACTGTACCACAGGGAACAAACCTGCCCTGGCCTCTGCTCCTAGGACACGAGAGGAGGTGGTGTGGACATTCTCACTGCTCTCTTTGGCATATAACCTCTTTTCCAATGTGTCTGCTCAGGACTTGGCATGAAGGTGATGAATAAGGGCTAAAAGCAGAGTTAGTTCCCAAGGGGGGTGTGAGAGAGCTGTGCTTAGAAAGGGCAGGTTTTGTGGGGCCAGGGTAAGGGTCCCTGGGCTGACATCATGTCCAGCCAGGTCAGTTTGATAATACTGCATTAGCATGACAAGCTACACATGTTTTGCAAACTGTAGAAGAGACAGATCTCTGTCCGGGGAGTGGGGGGTATTTTCTGTTCAGGGCCGGGTTTTGTGCTGCTTTAAGGTGTTAATCCCCTGTGTTTAGTCAGACCTGGCTTTAAACCTTTCAAGGGTACATTAGAATCCTCTGGGGTGGTCAGGACACCAGATTATGGGCACTACAGCCAGCCAGAGGGAGAAGTGGGAGCTACCAGTGTTCTTCACTGCAGAAAATCAAGCCCTTTCTTATAACCAGAATAAAGTGTGCGGGGCAGGGTGGCAACATAGATTCAGCCCCATGCCTATAGCAGTGAGAATTGCTGCATTTCCCATGTTTACTCATGAAGGGTCAAGGATCAGTTAGTTTAATATGTCCTGACCAGGGGAGGGGAAAAGGGTAACTATCCATGCTAAGGAGGGATGTGTGTCCTGTTCTGTGACCTTGTGCATTTTTGCAGGGGACTAGGCTAGCCTGCTGGTTTCTCAGGGCCATAGTAATGGCTGAAGTTGGTCTCTGGGAGCCCGCTGCAGGCTCATACTACCTTTCTAAAGTGGTGTGGAATCAGTGAGTCAACCCCTGTCTGGGTCCTCTGCCTTTGCTGGGGCCTGTGCTGAGGCCAGCAGGATGGGGAGCAGTGGCTCGGCACTGAAGGTCTGTTCTGATCACCGAGGAGGCATCAACTGGCTCAGTCTGAGCCCAGACGGGCAGCACCTGCTGACAGGCAGTGAAGATGGCACTGCACGTCTCTGGAGCACTGCAGATAGCCAGTGCCATGGCCACTTCCAAGGTACAGTATGTGTCCCTTTTATCTAGGTTCTGAGTTCAAGTACAGTTTATTCTAAGGTATGGGACAAACCTGACACAGCATGTTCCATCTTCTCCAGTCTCTGGAGCAGGTTGAGTGGCCAAATATCGTGCTTAAGAATCAGTAAGAGTAATATTAACTAGAAGCTCTTTCATCCCAAAGCAAGTTACAAATGTTACCGCACAGAGGAATCCCTTGGCCTCTGGAGTAGAACCCAGCAATTTAACTTCTGCTTCCTCACTGCAGTCCTCAGCAGCTCACCCAAGTGTAACTGTTTTTTTCTTTTAAAATCTTCACTTTTTCCAGGAGACTTTTTTTTTATTCAGAACTTCTTGACCTTACAGTTGAGAAACAGGCCTCAGTGAACAATGGGATTTTCTTCAGTAGAACAAAACATTTCCATGTGTCTAATGCAAACTGCTAGGCTTTTTCTTCTGAAATTGTTTTTGCCTGTTTAATGAGATTTACATCTTCGTACACAATCCCTAGACTAACCTCAAAACGATTAAAGAATGCAGAAACCCTGCAGGAGGGGATTGTGAATTTTAGATAACTTCCTGCATACCCCTTTAGGATTATAATTCTTTTTCAATCCACTCAAGAAGGTTTGGGTGTATTCACAACCAGGCCTACTTACTGCTAGGGTTTGGGGCTCTACCCACGCATAATCTCTCTTAAGTATGTTGGCTAGTTTCAAATCTACATGAAACAGTTTATCATATTTAATGAAAAAAATCATATAAATTTGGTGTTGTGAAAGTCACCATATTGACAGCCCTCTGCCAACAGAACAAACACCACTGCAAGCTTCACCCACAACATAACCAAGGTGCCGCAACCGTAACCCATCAGTGAAGCCTCATCTACAATGAGGTTTTTGTGAATTATTCACTGTTACTCTAGTACATGATGGTCAAAGCACTATTTACTCCTGGGGGAATTCTGCGCCCAAACATTAAAAATTCTGCTCAAAATATTTCAAAATTCAGCATATATTATTATATTATTAGTCAAAATAACACAATATAAACACTCCAGTTTCAATTATTTTGTTAATTTATTTTAAAATACCTGTCAATAAGTATATCTGTAACAATATAGGTTTCAGAGTAGCAGCCATGTTAGTCTGTATTCGCAAAAAGAAAAGGAGTACTTGTGGCACCTTAGAGACTAACCAATTTATTTCAGCATAAGCTCTCGTGAGCAACAGCTCAATTCATCGGATGCATTCAGTGGAAAATACAGTGGGGAGATATATATACACAGAGACAATGAAACAATGGGTGTTACCATACACACTGTAACAAGAGTGATCACTTAAGGAGAGCTATTACCAGCAGGAGAGCGGGGTGGGGGTGGGGAGCCTTTTGTAGTGATAATCAAGGTGGGCCATTTCCAGCAGTTGACAAGAACGTCTGAGGAACGGTGGGGTGGGGTGGGGATAAACAAGGGGAAATAGTTTTACTTTGTGTAATGACCCATCCACTCCCAGTCTCTATTCAAGCCTAAGTTAATTGTATCCAGTTTGCAAATTAATTCCAATTCAGCAGTCTCTCATTGGAGTCTGTTTCTGAAGTTTTTTTGTTGAAGTATTGCCACTTTTAGGTCTGTAATCGAGTGACCAGAGAAATTGAAGTGTTCTCCAACTGGTTTTTGAATGTTATAATTCTTGACGTCTGATTTGTGTCCATTTATTCTTTTACGTAGAGACTGTCCAGTTTGGCCAATGTACACCCATTGTTTCATGTTCTCTGTGTATATAAATCTCCCCACTGTATTTTCCACTGAATGCATCCGATGAAGTGAGCTGTAGCTCACGAGCTTATGCTCAAATAAATTTGTTAGTCTCTAAGGTGCCACAAGTACTCCTTTTCTTTTTGCGAATACAGACTAACACGGCTGCTACTCTGAAACCTGTCATTATGCAAGGCACTGAATTTAGCCGTATGGAGTGGAAATCTATCAACTTCATGAAAAAACTCATACAGATACAGACAGACATCATCTTCCTTTCCAAATGCAAACAGATGGACATCATACCAAAAGGACTGAAGGTAAAAAATCCATTACAATCTACATACCACAGACTGTGCTGACAGCTTGTGCCACACTCTCTCAAAGAAACTGTGGAACCACCTGATCAACATCCTCTACAGCAAACAGGGAAAGATTAAGAATGAGCTGTCAAAACTGGATACTCTTATAAAAAAACCACCTTCCGCACAAACTTCCTCGTGGCTGGACTTTACAAAAACTAGACAAGCCATTTACAACACACACTTTGCTTCTCTACAAAAGAAAAAGGACACTAAACTATCTAAACTACTACATGCCACAAGGGGCCACAGGAGTGGTTCCCTTAACCGACCCAGCAATATTGTTAATCTATCCAACTATACTCTTAGCCCAGCAGAAGAATCTGTCCTATCTCGGGGCCTCTCCTTCTGTCCCTCCACCCCCACGAACATGATACAGTTCTGTGGTGACCTAGAATCCTATTTTCGATGCCTCTGACTCAAGGAATATTTCCAACACACCTCTAAACAACATACTAACCCCAGAGAGCTTCCTACCAAGACTACAAAAAGAAGGATTCCGGGTGGACCCCTCCTGAAGGTCGAAACAACAGACTGGACTTCTACATAGAGTGCTTCCGCCGACGTGTACGGGCTGAAATTGTGGAAAAGCAGCATCACTTGCCCCATAACCTCAGCCGTGCAGAACACAATGCCATCCACAGCCTCAGAAACAACTCTGACATCATAATCAAAAAGGCTGACACAGGAGGTGCTGTCATCATCATGAATAGGTCGGAATATAAACAAGAGGCTGCTAGGCAGCTCTCCAACACCACTTTCTACAAGCCATTGCCCTCTGATCCCACTGAGGGTTACCAAAAGAAACTACACCATCTGCTCAAGAAACTCCCTGAAAAAGCACAAGAACAAATCCGCACAGACACATCCCTGGAATCCCGACCTGGGGATCTGCTACCCAAGATCCATAAACCTGGAAATCCTGGGTGCCCCATCATCTCAGGCATTGGCACCCTGACAGCAGGATTGTTTGGCTATGTAGACTCCCTCCTCAGGCCCTACACTCCCAGCACTCCCAGTTATCTTCGAGACACCACTGACTTCCTGAGAAAACTACAATCCATTGGTGATCTTCCTGAAAACACCATCCTGGCCACTATGGATGTAGAAGCCCTCGACAACAACATTCCACACAAAGATGGACTACAAGACGTCAAGAACAGTATCCCCGATAATGTCACGGCTAAACTGGTGGCTGAACTTTGTGACTTTGTCCTCACCCATAACTATTTCACATTTGGGGACAATATATACCTTCAAATCAGTGGCACTGCTATGGGTACCCGCATGGCCCCACAGTATGCCAACATTTTTATGGCTGACTTAGAACAAGGCTTCCACAGCTCTCGTCCCCAAATGCCCCTACTCTACTTGCGCTACATTGATAACATCTTCATCATCTGGACCCATGGTAAAGAAGCCCTTGAGGAATTCCACCATGATTTCAGCAATTTCCATCCCACCATCAACCTCAGCCTGGACCAGCCCACACAAGAGATCCACTTCCTGGACACTACGGTGGTAATAAGTGATGGTCACATAAACACCACCCTATACTGGAAACCTACTGACCGCTATTGCTACCTACATGCCTTCCAGCTTTCATCCAGACCACATCACACGATCCATTGTCTACAGCCAAGCTCTATGATACAACTGCATTTGCTCCAACCCCTCAGACAAAGACAAACACCTACAAGCTCTCTATCAAGCATTCTTACAACTACAATACCCACCTGCTGAAGTGAAGAAACAGACTGACAGAGCCAGAAGATTACCCAGAAGTCACCTACTACAGGACAGGCCGAACAAAGAAAATAACAGAACGCCACTAGCCATCACCTTCAGCCTCCAACTAAAACCTCTCCAACGCATCATCAAGGATCTACAACCTATCCTGAAGGACGACCCATCACTCTCACAGATCTTGGGAGACAGGCCAGTCCTTGCTTACAGACAGCCCCCCAACCTGAGGCAAATACTCACCAGCAACCACACACCACACAACAGAACCACTAACCCAGGAACCTATCCTTGCAACAAAGCCCATTGCCAACTGTGTCCACATATCTATTCAGGGGACACCATCATAGGGCCTAATCACATCAGCCACACTATCAGAGGCTCGTTCACCTGCACATCTACCAATGTGATATATGCCATCATGTGCCAGCAATGCCCCTCTGCCATGTACATTGGTCAAACTGGACAGTCTCTACATAAAAGAATAAATGGACACAAATCAGATGTCAAGAATTATAACATTCAAAAACCAGTTGGAGAACACTTCAATTTCTCTGGTCACTCGATTACAGAACTAAAAGTGGCAATACTTCAGCAAAAGAACTTCAAAAACAGACTCCAATGAGAGACTGCTGAATTGGAATTAATTTGCAAACTGGATACAATTAACTTAGGCTTGAATAGAGACTGGGAGTGGATGTGTCATTACACAAAGTAAAACTATTTCCCCATGTTTATCCCACTCCCCCCCACTGTTCCTAAGATGTTCTTGTCAACATCTGGAAATGGCCCACCTTGATTATCACTACAAAAGTTTCCCCCCAACCCCCCTGCTCTCCTGCTGGTAATAACTCACCTTAAGTGATCACTCTTGTTACGGTGTGTATGGTAACACCCATTGTTTCATGTTCTCTATGTATATAAATCTCCCCACTGTATTTTCCACTGAATGCATCTGATGAAGTGAGCTGTAGCTCACGAAAGCTTATGCTGAAATAAATTTGTTAGTCTCTAAGGTGCCACAAGTACTCCTTTTCTTTTTGTAACAATATAGACAACAAAAAAGATTCAGGAAATATTTTTATCAAATAGATTCCTTAATAGGCATATTAATACAGAACTTTGAGTAATAATTCATTTAAA